ACACACACACACACACACACACACACACACACACACACACATATATATAGATATAGATGTAGATATAGGTATATACCTATATCTATATCTATATATATATATGTGAATTTCTCTCAATTGGGCAGTTTAGGAAAATTATAGTGTGTTGTTTAAAACAAATTATCTCTTGTTTTCAGCTGCTGCTGGTGTCATGATTTATTCTTACTATACACATTGTATCATCCATTTTATATGCAAGATTTACTAAATGCTACTCTGATGACAATGCTGCTTGGCATCATTACGGGGACAACGAATGATCATAGTGAAGGAAATTTGATGTTGGAATTCTAAATTTTTCTTAACCATCATATTATGAATTTCAAAAAAGTATTTTTATGAAGGGGATCTAGAAATCTAGCCTTCCTGGTCCAGCTTTCCATTTTATAGATTTATAGATCTTGGTCATAACACTGTTAAGTCATTATATTTAAAAGTCATAGGCCAGTCACATAATGACAGATAAAGATATTCAACCATACAAATATCATAGTTTTAAAGACAAATAAATAATAGACCTCTCTGAAAAAGACTTAATAGCTGTGTATTCATAAGGCATTACAGGTCTAGATCTATAAAATAACCTTTGTACAAAAGTTTAAAAATATTGTCTTCATCCTTGTCTTTTGCAATGTGACAGGCTATCCTACATGTCATCATTAACTTTTTAAGTGAAATGTACAAACATTCTTTGGTTTTGATCATACCCCTCTAGAGTGCTAGTGATGGTTACTATTAAAACAGAAAGTACGCTGTGTGTCTTTCCTAACCAACATAAACTAGACACTTGCTGTATACCTGGTATTGTGCAGAGGCTTCCACTTTAAATCATGTCTTTGACTTCCCTCCCCCACGCCCATCCTGCTTTGTCATTTCAGTGAGATATAATGTGATACTCACAGGTCTTTCTTTTTTTATTCATATAAGATTACTTGACCTCAGAATAATAAATCAATGACATGACCAATGACACAGCTAATGAGGGAGAGGGAAGTGATTCCATCTTGAAGTTCTCTGACAACGTGCCCCATTGCTTGGTTAATGCTTGGATCCTGAAGAGATTTTTTCATACTTGTGACTTTACAGATGAAGAACTGAGGCCCAGCAAAAGTGAGAAATCACTGTTTCTCTATTCGTTGTTCCTTTCTTTTTGAACAACTACATTTATTCTAGTTGCCTCCAAATAATTTTAGGTATAAAAGCAAAACATCACCTTCCTATTGCCATCTCGCCTGTAATCTTGATGAGTCCATTACTTCCATTAGATGCTGATGATTTCTATTCCTAATCTACCACCTTCCCCATTCCTTCTTTTCCTTAAGGTTTATTTTCCCCCCAGTTTTTCCTGAAAATATGCGTGAATATGTGAGGAGACTACAGCTTGAAATTCAGCTACTCAGAAATTGAGATTGTTAAAACATTTCATGCTTTTGCCAATTCCCTCTTAAATATTCCAAACTCTACATGCCAGCCATTTCCACAGTATCCTCTATTTGCATTACTGACTTTAATTAAAGATTTTATCATTTACTCAGGCTCTGATGCTAGACTCTGTGCCATCTTTTACTCTCCCTTCAGTTTTGATCTCCAAATCTAATGATCAGATATTAACACCTTTACCTCTGAAATACTTCTCAAGTTTCTCTTCTTTGTTCTAACATCCATGGCATTTGTCAAGGCAGCATCTTTTTCAACAGTCAGTGTCTTTGTATTCTAGGTTAGTTCCCTTTTGCAAGAACCTCAAAAGCATGTATAGGTTTCTGTGTGTACCAGGCATGTGCTAAGCTACACTGTAGAAAAGGAGATTTGGGTGACCTGGACTAGAATAGGCAGGTAGGTTTTTCCCTTCTGTTTCCATTGCCTTTCGTTCCCTTCATTCTGTTCCACTTTTCTTTCTTTTTTTTTTTCTTTTATCTTTATGATACAAACTCACTACAAGTCATTAAAATCTATTGACAATGTAACCACAACTGTTCACATATGTTTTTATTTATTCATGAGCCAAAATCAAATTTCAGTCTCAATTTTCAATTATGAAGAAAGGAAAGGTCAGCATTACTGAGAACATTCATCAGCTATTTCAAAAAGTCCTGTGTCTACCTTTTAGAATATTTGAAATGAAATTTTAGAAAATCATAATAAGATTTAGAGGTAAAGGACATCTTTGTAAAATATGAAAAAACTAGTTTCTTCATGAACATCGTGGTTAAATTCTGCTATGTCCTTTGAGTGCAAGTAAGTCCTCTCCATAGGTATTTCAATAAAATCACCTCCTTAATATGCTAGAGCTGTCCTAAAAGGAATTTTTATTGTGCTAAAAACTTTCTATAGTTATTTTCAAAAGTAGTTGTTAGATTTAATGCATTTCTTTCCTGTTGTTGATAGGTACACACTGGTGGATATTTTGCGTGCCATCTTACTTTCTTTAGAAGCCATGATTGAAGATCCTGAGCTTCAAGTGAATGGATTTGTTTTGATCATAGACTGGAGTAACTTCACCTTCAAGCAAGCCTCTAAACTTACACCAAGCATGCTTCGACTGGCTATTGAAGGCCTTCAGGTAAAAATACCAGTTTCTTGGCCTCTATTGTTTATGTCTCTTATCTAGTATGTTCCATAATAAAGTATCTTACTTAAAGAATAAAAAACAGTTACTTGAGGCCCTCCCTGGTGG